ACAGTCAAAGCCAATGGACAACTAAGCAATGGGCAAGCAAATATTTGCTATTTGACTTTTGATAGATTAAGCCAGTCTTGGTGGAGCAAGGAAAAGCCATTTCTAGCCAAGTCTGGCTCAGGTTTGCGTGTTCAGGCGATGGCCAGACAAATGGTGAGTGAAGTAGAGCGAACGGTTGATGCTGCTTTCTCGCAGTGGCCAAGAAGTCCTGTCCCAGAAGCACCATTTCGCAGTGTCCCTATCGGGTCGTCTTTGATCTGCATAAGGGCTTAGTTGAGAGCTGAACAAATGACCATTCAAACTGGTACAGTAAGTGGCTTTGTCAGTGTGTCACTGTGTTTGTGTTTGTGTGTTTGTGTGTGGGTGGACATAAACTGTTTTCGCGTCAGCAGATGCGGGAAATCGGCGTCGAAACGGTCGAGACCACCGGGAACAGTTCGGCTGTTGTGAAAGTGGAGTCAATTTATCTACAGCAAAAGAAAACAGGCAGAAGAGGTGGGGAAGAGTTTGCTGCCACAGCAGCAGTAAGTACGTGAGACGCCTTGAAGGCGGAAAAGTGGTCATATAAAGTACGCCAGTTGCTAACTGGCCGCAGTTAAACTGTAGAGCCGAATGCACCAGACGATGCAGAAAAATGCTCATATCTTCGACAAAAGTTGATGATCTCGTTTCTGCAAATCGTTCGTGATGTTGGAACGATCTGGATGAACCCACTTCTTCTGGAACCATCTACCGTTTTAACCATTTCCAAGGTCAGGTCGGGGATGTTTAACCTTCCCGGACGCATTTTTAGTCAGTTAAATGTGTACTTTTCGTATGTAAGTAGAGTTGGGAGACTACAAGAAAATCATTAATATGACATGTATTTACAGTGTTTTAGGAAAAGGTTTGATCTTACTTAAAATTCACAACTATCCTGTGACTCAAGGGCACTCGGGACAATGTGGCCGAATGGTTAACGTGTCATGTTAACAGGTTGTAAAGTCATGGTTTGACTCCCGCTGGGAGTATTGACAAAACTGAGGCAAGGTCAAAAATGTAGTCCATTTTAGCCGGATTGAGAACGACTTTTGGAAGAGCAAGGCTCTATGAAATTCAATAGAAATGTCAGCTCTAAATTCTTCTTCTACCAGTCCTTCATCAGCTTGAACAAAAAGGTGAATATATCTCATGTGTAATATGGGATGTATTCACCCAATTTCGTTTAAGTTAATGAAGGACTGGTCGTCGAATTTTCACACAATCTGATGAGTAGGGCTGACGTTTGCATTGGATTTCATAGAGCCTTGCTTTCCCAAAAGTTGTTCTCATCCCGGCTGGAGTGGACTGCAGTTTTGACCTCGCATCAACTGATCTTATCAACACCCTCAGCGGGAGTCGAACCGCAACAGGCCACACTGCCACGACTGCCTTTTGGGTCACAGGGCAAATGTGCATTTTAAGGAAGGCCACGCCTTTTTGCCATATCATATTCTTCTGGTGGGATTGACGATGAAGCAAACGTATGTTTGTGCTATAACAATCGACTAGTATACTTTATTTTTCGAATTAAGTATTGTTTTCGTAACTACCAGTAAATCAGTAATATGAGATGTATTCACACAATTTCGTAAAAGGTAATGAAAAACTGGTAGTCAACCCTGGATGAGAACAACTCTTGGGAAAGCGAGACTATGTGAAAGCCAATGGAAACGTCAGCTCAACTCATATCATTGTGGGAAAATTCTTCTACATCTAGTCCTTCATCACCTTCAACAAAATTGGGTGAGCACATCTCATACTACTGATTACTGGTAGTCACGACAACAATACTTAATTCGAAAAATAAAGTAAATTCTAAATATGAGATGTATCCACCCAATTTCGTTTAAGGTGATTATTTACTGGTAGTCTGGAAACTCTACTCAAATAGGAGAAATAAGTAACGTAGTCGATTGTTATAGCAAATATTCGTTTGCGTCATCAAAACTGCAGTCCACTCCAGCCGGGATGAGAACAAATTTTGGGAAATCAAGGCTGTGTGAAATTCAATGGAAACGTCAACTCTTCTTATATCATTGTGGGAAAATTGTTCTACCAATCCTTAATCATCTTAAACTAAATAGAGTGAATACATCTCATATTACTCATCTTTGGGTGACATTAAAGCGCCTAAAGGCCGAACCGCAGAGTAGAGTAGAGGAAAGCTACTGACAACAGTTTGCAGCTGCTCGATAGGCCTAAGAAAAAGGGAGTGGGCAAAACTGACAGGTGAGAGAGAACAAGTGAGAGATGCTTTCCCAGCTTCCAATCTGACATGGTATTTCACACCTCATCGGATTCACCAGCATCATGTGCACACAACTTTGCACGTGTCCCAGTAAACACAGCATTAAAATGCAGTTTTTTTTAAAAAAAAATCTTTCTTTCAAAGCAACCCTTGGCATATTGTTGCTGGTGCCTTTTCCGTTCGCTGCTCGAGAGGCGATTGGAAGTGATTCGAAAATTGTCTTCATCCGAACTCGAAAGAGGCTGGTTGTAAAGTTGGTATGAATTTCTGCGAATACCAACTCAACGGCTGCGTCTTGCTAGTTGATCTGTTCTCGAAAACCGTGGATGCTCTACAACAATCGACATGACAAACTAATGATCAGCACAAATTCATGAGGGCCACGGGAGAGTGCTCTGAAAACTTTTTCGCACAAATCTTCTCGCACACCTTCAAGATCGACCTCCTCCGGCTTTTGGTCAGGCCAAGTTACGAACCTCTTCCATTCGCCTCTTCAGACAAACTGCAGGTTCCACCAACAGAAGCGCCTTGCAGAGAAACAACTGCGATCCAATCTATATCCTCTTTGCACAATGAAATGTGAAATTCTCTTTACTTATTCAGCATGAAGGTATATGAGAAAAACACACCCTGGCTCAGAAATGTTGAGCTCATTTCCGATTCGGATGGAAATGTGTCTGAAAAAAAGATTTGAAAGTGAATGAATGAGTTGAAGGCTGCATCATGAAGTGTCTAAATGCGTTTATAACCGAAACTTCGTTCTCTTTCACTCTTTGAGCAAAAGAAGATGCTTGCAAAGCTTCCTGAAGATTTGAACTCTACGCCACTCAGATGCCAAAACTGCTCAGTAGCCACATATTTTGTT